TCCTGGGCATAGCAGTTGTTGTACCAAGCTATGATGCATCCAGATAGAATGCTTTCTATGGCGCATCCATAATAGTTGGTGACAGTCCTTAGGGACATGCTGAATTTCCATTAGCCTCCTGAGAAAGAAGCGTTGTTGTGTCTTCTTGACTATTGTATCAACATGCGTAGACCTGGACAGATTGTTGGTGATGTCAATCATAGGAACTATGGTGGAATCTATCAATATCCTTAAGTCCTCAGTAAATGGTTGTTTTCTAAATTTGCTTTTCCACCACATGCCATATTTCCAAGATGATGAAAGAAACAGGCAGAGAGGGATAGTGAAACAGGTAATGAGAGAGACGGTGTCTTTCTGTTCTTGCTTGTAAATACATTTCTTCTTTTCTCTCCTCTGCTGCTCAGAAGCAGCTGTTAAAATTTAGTTCAATGTATGTTCGCAAGTCTAGCTCCAATGTCTTTCCACAGTGGCAAGATGAGTTTTTCATCTCCCAATATGTGAAATTATCATAGAAGTATGAATTAAAACAAGGCATGTGAATTTCTTGACATGAACTCAGTTGACTGGGTTTGATGTTTTTCAATAAAAATAGTTGTTTCATTGCAGAAGGATATCCCACAGCTTACCTCAATAAAAGACCTCCACTATAACAATTAGATTATGGAAGTTAAAATTTGATGGTCCATATTTACCACCATCATTATGATAGATAAAACTCAGGACAGCTACTACGTTTCCTGTCAGCTCTGGTGAAAGGCCAAAAATGTATATTGCTAACCTGTTAACTGTCTCTTTAGATACTGCCAGACCTGTCAAACATTTAAAGCATTTTTTGTTTTTGTTTATTTCCTGCAAGTACTGTTTCTAAGATTGTGCAAATCCATCTGCATCAATGCCCTTGATTTCCTTTTTGTATCTCACAATGAGAGTGTCGCAGCAAGGATTTTAGACCAGTCTGTCTTACAATTAGTCTTTATCATAAGTCTGATACACCCTTTACTTTCCAACAATATTGATAGACATCACAGAGAAACTTTAGGCCACTGCGTGGTTGCCTTTCTTTGGAGGATTCTGCTAATTACTTATTTTTGTTCCAATGACAAGGACAGTTGTCAAGTTGGAACGGCTTATAGCCTTTGTGCTACAAATGCTACGACTGGAATGTTATCAACCACAAAACCTGCAACCAAATTTGTGTGACTGCCAGTGAGGAAAATGCAATGAGGCATGATGCAATCCAGAATTTTCTTTTACTGCAGCCAAGTTAGCCATAAATAGAACTGAAGCTAGAACCCGTTAACTGCTCACCCACTAAACAGGGTCATATTTAAGTAACCACGAAGGGAAGCTTTTATAGGCAAAAGCAGAGCGCTTTAGAGTAGTACTTGAAATCTCTTCAAAGCTGTTGAGTGCTACTGGGAAGGTAGATTATAATGCAGTGCATCAGAAAATTAAGAGGGCCATTAAGAAGATAAAATGTTGCCTGTGGGTTATATTTATCTGCAAGGGTGTGTAATTGCACAACAATGATCCTTAATAATATTTCTGGAGCCTGAAGTCTATTACCAAGTTGCAGTGGTTTACCTGGGAAAATGCCAGTGATTGACAAACCCCAGTGCTCTTAAACAATTTGAGTATATTTTAAGGGTCTGAAGAAAGTGTCTCACTGAGGTTGCATTTGACCTAACAGATGACAATAAAGTACCATTTAAAAGGGGATTGGCAAAGCCAAACAAATGTGCTATGCTGCACAAATAAAAAATGTCAATGAACCAACTCACTGGAAGGAAGTAATTGTCCAAATTCCGTCATGTGGGTAACGATAAGGTGTTAGCTGTGGATTGTATTCGTGTGGTAGGATAGTGAAGAAGGCATTTGGTATGCTTGCCTTTATTGGACAGTGCATTGAGTATAGGAGTTGGGAGGTCATGTTGTGGCTATACAGGACATTGGTTAGGCCACTTTTGGAATACTGTGTTCAATTCTGGTCATTCTGCTATAGGAAGGTTGTTGTGAATCTTGAAAGGGTTCAGAAAAGATTTACAAGGATGTTGCCAGGGTTGGAAGGTTTGAGCTATAGGGAGAGGCTGATTAGGCTGGGGCTATTTTCCCTGGAGCATCGAAGTCTGAGGGGTGACCTTTATAGATGTTTATAAAATCATGAGGGGCATGGGGAGGGTTAGTAGACAAGGTCTTTTCCCTGGGGTAGTGGAGTCAAAAACTAGAGGGCATAGGTTTAAGGTGAGAGGGGAAAAATATAAAAGGGACCTAAGGGGCAACTTTTTCACACAGAGGGTGGTGTGTGTATGGAAATGAACTGCCAGAGGAAGAGGCGGAGTTGGGTACAATTATAACATTTAAAAGGTATCTGGATGGGTATTTGAATAGGAAGTAAGTATTTAGAGGGTTATGAGCCAAATGCTGGCAAATGAGGCCAGAGTCATCCAGGATATCTAGTCAGCATGGACAAGTTGGACCGAAGGATCTGTTTCTGTGCTGTACGTCTCTATGACTGTATAACATTTGTGAAATACTTTAAACATGAGGAGTGGATTAGTAACATTTTTGCAGGTTTGAGGGTTATAATCCAACAAAGTAGCTCATGAAAGAAGTAAAAGTGGAATAGAACAAGACCTTTGACCACTGTTGCTGACCCCAAATCTCAGGAATCAATTGACTGAGATCTCCAGGATTGGCATCTAGAATGACACAGAAGAGTGGTCTGGGGTAAGGAGGCAAAAGTTAAAGTAGTAACCTGCTTTTATAAAAAAGAGAAACTGAGAACAAAACTGAACAGAGAGAAATATTGCAGATATCTTTAAAACATTCAGCAGTTGGGCATTTAGCAGTCAAAAGGTATTTGTCCTCTTCAGTTTAGGTCTTAGCTGCTATCCCATATATTTTATCATCTTTTCTTCAATGGGATAGCAATTCAATGGACTCATCAAAATTCCACCCCAAATTACAGTTCCAAATCTAAAAATCAGGTGCCCCTACCCCGCCCTCTCCTTCACCCCAGTCCCTTTTATAGAATTTTAAGTACTCCTGTGGTGCGTGTGTTTCCTGGACAATAAGAACAGTTGGAAAACATTACTCCACATGAACCAACCTGGTGTGGGCAAGTTGGTCAGTGGGTGATATTGGCATGCTTTCTGAGTACACCCTGTGACAATACTGTGGCTTTAAGAAGTGTATTGTATCCTGGCTTTTTTTTTTATGAAGAGCAAATGAGACAATATGCCAAGCAGAATGCTCCCAGCCAATAAAGTAAACAGCTTGTGAGGTCTTGGTCCTTACGTTAGGTTAACACAAAAGAAGCAGCATGAAAGGCTGGGGACAAGCTCCCACAGAGCCAGTATTTTAGTTTAGCTTTCGGTAGTTGCTGGGATCTTGAAGCTGGATGTGGAAGCTGTTATTCCACTCTCTGTTACAGCTAAAAGATAGGGTTCTCTTCCTGCTGCTAGAATAGTAGTTGAGACAATCTATTTTACTGAATTTGCCTTTGCCAAGGGTGTATTTATGGGATGTTACCATATTGGAAAAGTTGTTGTTTAGTAGTTAAACAATCTATTATTCTGTTAAGATTCCA